GGAGCTTAAATGGAGCTGGAACTGATGGAGTACTTAAATTGAAGAATCATTTCTGAAACCAGCCAAAAATCAAATCCGCGATCGCGTTATCAGTTTCTATGATCGTTTAAATGCATCGAAGTTTCCCATGGTCGAAATAAGTCATGTATATGCCATCTGAGAAGAAAAGTTGAAATCTGTGATTTCATAAGGCCTTTATGCGATCACATTTTGTGTCGCAACCTCAAAAACTTTCGAAATAGCATCGTGCTTCATTTAAACGCAATTCTGAAAGAAATTCAAAAAACTGCGATCGCATAAACCATATCTGGAAGAAACATTCCCGAAGTTGTAGAAATGTTGAAAACAACCTCGTACATCATTTAAGGGTAAATCTAAAAAAAATGAAAATCTGCGATCGCATTTTTCGTTTTCTTTCTTCGGAAGCTTTCTGTCTCGCATATAAATACGACCCTCATTATTAGATTAGGAGGTTAGACGTTCCAAAGACTAGAAAACACTTCTGACGACGATTTTTGATACCTTTCAGTGATTTTTGAAGATCTGTAGGTTGAGAATCATCTCATTAATTTACTTTCGAAGATTATTCAGTTAATGTTTCTTTCTACTAATTTAGATTCGTTTTTTGTCATGTCTTGCTAAAACCCTAGTTTCTAATTTTGAATTAGACTAGTACTTTTCATGTGATTAGTTATCAGATCTGGTTTTTTTTTTGTTTCTATCTAGATTTTTCTGTTTTGAGCTTAATAAATGTTTGATTTTAATTATTGTTAGTTTGATCACCTAGCTAGGGTTTTTATTATTCCAGTTAATCAGTTAATAGAATATGTAATTGTTCTTGTCAAATGGTAATAAGCAACATGTATTAGATTGGTTTCGTGTTTGTGATTTAACTCTACTATAAACTATAAAAATATTATATGTTTATGTTTCCGAGCTTGTGAGAAGTATTGGGTATTGCTAGGAATTTTATATAGATCATAAAGCTACTTTTTCGATTTAATTAAAAGCTTGTTTAATTGAACAGTAAAAAGTTAGGGTTAATTCAAAGAACTTGTTTCGGGTAACTAATTAGGTAAAAGAGAGTATACTAGAGCTTATTAGTTTTTCTGAGTACCAGCTTAGATAGAAAGTATCTCAAATAACCAGATCTGAATTGATTGTATGTTTAGGAAAGTCGTAGCAGAACTAAAATTGGTTTTATTATTGATTTTCGTTTAGTTTATTTTCACCATAATTTTAGTTTTTTTTAGTTAATTCAGCCCCCCCCCCCCCCCCCCCTATTTTTATATTTTCTGTTTCTTGAAATTTTATTTGTTTAAATTGGGTGCGACTATGGTTTAACAAAGTGTCACCGTTGTCGAGGATATGTTGCCTTCTAATAGTTTAATGCTAAGAAATTTTTGTACAGGTACGCCTTAAGTTTTTTATCCATAAATTGAAAGAACTGCATTGAAGCTGAAGAAAGAAGCAACAAAGAAAAAACAATCAGCTGGTTTCTTTGGTTCATCATTATCCTCCTTACCACCAGAAATCTCAACACCACAAGGCAGTCCCTTGTGGAACGAACCAGACCCTTTCATCTTTTCTGAAAGTACCCACCATCTTCACCTTCTAACAACCCCTTTAAATCTTACTTCCCATCATCTTCAGTTAAATCTGTAACCACCGACTCTTCAGAAAACTGAATCTGAAAAACCATCCATGAGTGATGCAGGAGAAGAAATAGAAAAGAATCTTAAAGAGTGGGCTACTCAAGAAGTCAATCTGAATCCCCTCTTTATCACTATTCCGAAATCCGGGAACTTTGAACTCAAATATGGGCTAATACATCTTCTTCCCACATTCCGAGGTCTAAAAAACGAAGACCCACATAAATTCCTCAAGGAGCTTCATGTGGTTTGTTTAGGAATGAAGTTGCATGTTGTTACTTAAGATTAGATAAAGTTAATGGCATTCCCCTTTTGAGTTTAAGACTCAACAAGAGAATGGTTATACAAGCTCCTATCCAGATTGATCACCACTTGGATAGAACTCACAAAGTTGTTTTTAGAGCAGTATTTTCCAGAAACGCGAGATTCCAGTCTCAGAAGAAAAATCCTTGGCACCAAACAAGGAAAAAGAGAAGTTTTACACACTTATTGGGATTAAAAAAGCTTTTGGTATGGTGCCCACGATATGGGATTAGTGACTATCAGCTCCACAACTATTTATGTGAAGGTTTGATACCCAAGGAGCAACATTTGATAACTGCTTCCAGTGGTGGTTCCTTAGGTGATATGACACCAACCGAAATCCAAGAACTGATCGAGAAGATAGTGATACAGTCAAAGCATTCTAGAAATGAAGATGAGTGGTATCAAAATCAGCCAAGAGGAGTAATAGAAGTCAATAATGCCCATCTGGAGTCTCAGATTTCTGAACTGACAACAGTTGTTCTGTTCTTGACAAAGGAAAAAATGGCTACAAAGAAACCATGTGGAATTTGTTTGAAGACGATACATCCGACAGATATGTGCCTGTTACTACAAAATCACACATGACATATTAGGGAAACTTCCAAAAGACCTTCCTACATGAGATATCTATCAAGTTTACTCATTTTCCCAAAAACTCTATTAGATCATGCAAAGGAATATCCCATAATAGGAATATGAAACAAACCAACATTTGAAAGAAAATTATTAAACATATATGCAAAGTGGGAGTGAAAAATAGAGCCATATCTCTCACTTTCCAACTGGAACTTCATTAAAATCACCCATTAAAACAACCTCACCCCTCCAGCGACCAATTATACCACCAATATTATCACATAACTATTTCTTTTCATAAACACATTGATGGTCATAAATAGACACAACAAGGTATGAACCCAAACACTCTCAACAATAATTAAATGGTCACCAGTAATCACCTTGCATTTATTAAACATAGAAGGATCTCAAACACACATAATGTCTCTGATAAACCTTTAGAAGTACCACAGTCAAAGTCAAAAGTAAGAATACCCCAAATCGATCTCACAACAAATAAATCCAAATGCCTTATTTTTGTTTCTTGTTAAGACAAAAATATGATATGTTACTTGACAAAAGAGATCTCTCTTTCCCGTGATTGTTTCGACTCCTTCCCTAAAACTTTAATATTCAATGATAATAAATTCATGAAAAAACATACATACCCCATGTGTATTCAGAATTTCATGAATATTTTGAGTACAACCATCTGCAAAGTAACACATAGTCCGATTCATCTCATTAAATGCATTTAATTCTTCAACAAAGAAAAATGTTGTGGTTTTTTATTGACTTCACCAAATCACCAAAGGAATAATGCACATCGTCATACTCTTCATTGAACTTTTTTAACGCTTAATGGTTCTTACGTAGGAGATTGAAAGAGATTTTTTGTAATTTTCCTGCACAACAACCCCTATAGGGGTTGAACACTGTTTTCATTGATCAAGTACATGTTCAACAACGAGATGATTTTGTATACTCCAAGGAAATTGCTCACTACAACCTCCTAAGTTTGCTTTTGTCCCCTGTTAAGGTTGTCGTTGAACCAACCGAGCAAAAATAACCTCATGTCGAGATTGTTGACCTTCCATGGTGGGCTAGAGTAGCATGGCGCCTACTGCATGCTATGGAGATGATGATGTGAATAAGTGTGGGGCTAATGTGAAGGCTAGGGACAAGAATTTCAGCTTGAGATGAAATTGTTGGAGGTGTAAAACCCAAATGAAATGTCGGTCCAGCTTCCACACAATGGTTATTTTCTTGTTGCTCCTTATTAAGAAGCTCATAAATTCCACAATGAGCTTTAGACACCCTCAATTCTTCATCTAGAACTTATCTATCTTCTCTTTCATGGATACATGTCTCAAACACACCTTGTGAGTCATTACTCATTATCCTCCTTCCAAGTTTCCATAATTACCGAATTATAAAACCTTGCAACATTATTCAACCCTTTCATTCTCACCCTTATATAACCCTCTAACACCTACATTTACCGCCTTATCCCCTGTTAAACCTTGCAACATTATGCAACAAATAGACTCGATGACCATTTCCGATTTAATTAAATATATAATTATTCTCATGGTATTTTTCATAAACTCTTTCTATCCATTTCTGGAATCACCTTTTCAAATATCTAAAATCACTAGTTTTTAAATAAATGTCACATTTTATATTTTGTATCGTATTAATTTCTCATTTGCTATGTTATTTATTTTATTTTTGGCAAATTTCATTAAAAATGAAACATTTTTTTTTCCAAATTTTCGGTTTAGTCTATCATATTTTGAACATATTACTAAAATGCATACTAGTTTTTTAGAATCTGAAATATATTTTTACTCAGAAAAAATACTTTTAATTGGACATAACATTAGTCCGAAATAGTTCAATTTGAATATGATAGTATTTTTTCAAATCTTAAAATACCTAGCCAATTCGGATTATTGTTTTTTTTTTTTTTTCGTAATAGTCATTTTTTTAATATTCCTATAATGAAAAATGTCGTAGAATATAATGTTTCGAAGTTCGCATTATTTGAAGATATAATAAGTAGCTGATCAACAAAGTTAAATATTTGATTAAATTTTAGTTATTAACATATCTATTACATAAACTGATAAATAACACTCACAAAAATAAATAATAAAAAACTAATATAGTAAACCGTCAATAAAAATCTTTAAAATTACGTCAAAAAGTAAATATGCTGTTTATTTCATCATTTTAATTTCGTTAAATACATATCACAAAACTATTATTTTGTTTTTTATATATATATATATATCTACTCAACTCCAATCTTCTACCATAAACAATTTTTTTTATTCGGACATTAATTTTAAAATACTACCCAATCACAACACTAAAATTTAATGTACATGACACTACCATAAATCCATAATTGAGAGTAGATACTTTGAAATACAATTCGAAATACAATGTAGTAGCAATACAATGTAGAAAATGAAAAGTAAAATTCTATAATAAACAAAACAATAGAAACAAGTATATTCCTATTTCTTACATTTACCCCTAATAAAAAATAAAAAACACAATTCCAGCAACCACAAAACCCTTTTTTTTCTTCTTTTTTTTTTTTTTTTTCTCAACAACCATGACATCATATACATTATTAACCTTATAAGACATCCAAAAACACCCCCAATTTGTTTATATAATAATAATAATAATAGTAATAATTAATGATTCTAAGATGAACAACACCAAGCTTTTTTAGTTACATTGTCTTGATCCGAATCCGTTTCCAAAACAAGTGTTTTTCCAGTTCTCGATAATGAAGGGTCGGGTTTCTTGACTTCCATAACTTTTCTGCTCAAAATATTGTAAATCTCTTTTACTACAATCTCAAAAGCAGTAATTACATTTGATGAATCAAGAGCCGATGTTTCCATAAAAAATAATCCCTCAGATTCAGCCAACGACTTTCCTTCCTCCATTGATACCTCACGTGCTTCTTTAAGGTCTGATTTGTTCCCAACAAGTATTGAAACTACATTCATGTCTGAATGTGCTACATTTTTTAATTTTAAAAAAAAAAAATCAAACAAATCGTTAATTTCGGCAAAATATTAAATAATCGAGATTTTTCTGTTCAAAAAAATAACACTTTATCATAAAACCCTAAATACTATCGCTGTGTAGGGTTGTTTTCGATGATAAGTACGAGAAGGGTATTTTTGTCTTTTGCACAAACAGAAGACCGATAGCAAGTTTATTTACAAGCTTGTTTCACCTTTTTGGGTTCTCGACAAAAAAGGGTTAATCGCAAGATTCATTTTTTTTTTAAAAAAAAGTTTCATTGCGATAAAATGACCCGAGGGCAAATTCGTCATTTGTACAAATGAAAAATCAAGAGATAATCGAATCCGTATTCCACCATTCCGGGTGGTAGAAAACCCTGAAAATTTTTGTCCTAAACATGGACAAGCTTTCTAGCACCATTTTCAATGACAAAGATAAGGAGGGGAAAAGGGCATTTACGTCTTTTTGCAGAGACAAGAATACTTACTATGAAGTTCATTGAGCCATCTTCCAATACTATCAAAAGTCCTGCGTCTGGTAATATCATACACCAAAAGTGCTCCAACTGCTCCTCTATAATATGCAGATGTAACTGCTCTAAACCTTTCTTGTCCAGCTGTATCCCAAATTTGGGCTTTAATTTCTTTCCCTTTAATTTCAATCTTTTGTGTTTGAAATTCTACCCCAATTGTTGATTTTGAATTAGGGTAAAACTCATCTCTAGCAAATCTAGCAAGCAGATTTGATTTCCCAACAGCCGAATCACCAATCAGAACAATCTTGAAAAGATAATCATCCGCTGAATCGTCTTGGGAGTAAAATGCCATTTTTACCCTTGTCGTGTGTGTTTGATCCACAATGCTATGAAAACATGTTTACTTTTGATGTCTTGCTTCTTAAAAATGCAAGATTTGTAACCTGGATCATTAAAATTGGATATAAAAAAAAAAAAAAAGATAAAAGGGAAACTTACAAGGAAAGACAAGTAGGCATTGTGTAAAAAGCAAGGTATCTTAAGAAATCCTTAAACTTATAATAGAGGTTATGTTAACAGGGTATTTTAGTAATTTTAACAAGGTGGAAATTATAAAAAGATCATAACCCATTTTACAAAGATATTATTCCCAATAATAACACAAACAATAATGAACATATGAGGGCTCGAGTCTTGATAGTTGCAGTGTGAGAGTTTCAGTTCCAATATGAACTGGGCTTCTTGTGGGCCCTTATGTCAGACAATTGTGGGCCAGTTTAGAGGTTGTTGGAAGAATAAGAGTAATATGAGATTGGAGGTGAAATGTGGGCATGGAGACACTGACATTGAGGTCAAAACTTTTCTGAAATACTGTAGATATGATTATGAGATATAAGAATTGAAAGGTTCATAGAACCAAAAGCAATCAAATTTATTGAGGGAAAAGCTTGTAGGGTCGTTTATCATCATGATGTGAAAATATATGGTCAATAATGGAGAAGATTAAGAGATCTGAAAATGGATGTGATGTTCCCAATGGAATCAAACATTGTGGTCATTAGTATGATTGCTATGACACCTCAAATTAACTACAACTTCAGAAGATATATAACGATGGACCACATTTTAACAGAAGATCAATCAATCATTCAGACTTTTGATTACTGAATCGATATCCAAAAAACAACGATATTTCTAGAAAGAAAAGAGGAAATGTAGTATAAAGTGTGTGCTTATTCTTCATTGCGATCGATGCATACTAAACAAAATTGATCAATTGTAGACCTTTTTGATCGCTTCTAAACAAACCCATTTCAATCTTTCATGTCAGGATTGGAAAACGATTGTTACACTAAACAAGCAATTTGAGGTAAATCGATAATCGGGGATCGGCCAATTGTGATTGAAAAGACACATTTGTAATCAAAGTTTTCAATCGCACAGGGAAAGTCAACATTTACTTCTTAATGAAATTGCGACTATAACTAGATATATTATTATAAATTAGATGAGCTACAGAGAGGTCAACGATATTTACTTTTGAACAATCCCACAAAAGATGTATTTATTTATATACAAGTTCTACGATTACCCACAAATAAAGTCAAATTATTTTCTCGATAACCCCACAAAAAGAGGCAACACATTTGAAGTCAATAAAACGAAGAAATCGGCATAAAATAGAAAGTATAAACTAAAATTAGAGAAATACTAGAACTTACCCTACAGCGTCTTTCACCGCTTAAAACGGATCCTTTTCCGCTCCTCACTGTTCTGAACAGTTGATAATGTAGATCGAAGAACAGAGAGGAGTATGGAAAGTAATTCAAGAATGGGGTTTTGATTGATTTGGTGAGACTTGAGAGAGAAATGGGTGTTAGGGTTCCATTGAGGAAGAAGGGAAGGCGATGAAGACGAGAGATTCAGAGTTGCAGGAAGACACGTCTGCGTGAATGGGCCGTGAATTGGGCCTTTTATATTGGAAAAGTTCCGGCTTTAAGCTCATAGAAGTCAACGTGCTCTTGGCCTCCTGCAACTTTTTTAAAGAATGAGTTGTCAAAACCATCATAAAAAATGATATTGCAAATGCAAACATAAACTTCTCTTGAACAAAATTGAGTTTTTTTTTTATAAAGTTTAAAAAACTAATTATTTTCCTTTAAGAATAGAATAAAAGGGTGGATGCTTAAAAAAGCTTATTGAAGATTGACATTTTTTTTAAAAATATTTCCTCTTTTATGGATAAGCAATTTGGATTTTGAAACTTGTTAATTCAAGTAAAGTTGTTGGTTAACCTCTTATAACATTTATAACATCTTGAGAGTAACATGTGTGGTAACTAGGATGTCCACATGGATTTTTGTAAATAAATAGAAATGATATCTACGAAAAGTTGAGTTGTGAAACATGATTTGCTCGTTTATTTAATTCTGTGTTGCCGAATAGCATAGTTACGATGCTCGAACCAAAATGTCTATTTCAAATGGTGACATTTTGGGCATAACTCACAAGCAGTATTAGAGTAAACCTTGTCATTATAAATATATATCGTGCACATCTCTAATCCTAAGTAGAAACTCGATTATGATAGTTGTAATTTATATAAGTCTAATAAATTCTATCTAGTTTTTTTGTGGATTAGTGCGACAACTTTGTTCTTATTAACCATGTTAATTTTGTGTTCTTATTTTGTTTTTCTTTATATTTTTATTGTTGTGTGTTTATAGTATAGATTCTTTATCCTAACATGATTTACATCTCATGTGAGTTAGATTGAAATAATCTTAAGCATTTATAAAAGGGTTTTTAAAACCATTAGTCAATTATAAAAGTCTCAAAATATAAAAACTTAAAACATGGCAAATGTAGTTGTTAAAAATGTATACAAGGGTAATTACAATTAACAAAGAACTAAGTATAAGTAACATAGTTATAACTGTTTCAAACATCAAAAGTCTTCTAAATTTCCAAGCTGACTTCCAAGTCTCCAAAATACATGTTAGGTGTGGGAAACCTACAGAGTCAGGGAACGTGGATATCGACATTGATACCTCCATAAGAAGTAGACCGAAAACCGTATGATGACCTTTAACATGTGCTATAAACGATGACATATAAATGAGGCTAACAAACAAGAAAGCAAGGGAAGAGTCTCTCAAAGTGAACAATAAGATACAAATTAACAAAACATAGTACACATATATGAATCAAAGAACATGCATATAAACAGGGCCAATCATGAGGAATTAAATATCTTCAAAGGCTCAGGATGAACAAAAAAGAAGATCCTTATCATTATCACAAGCTGTTATTTTCAAATAAAAATATATAATAAAAAATTGAGCCCTGTTCAGCTCCCCCCCCCCCCCCCCCCACTCTCTTTCTCAACGCCTCTAATGCATATAAAACAAACATAAATGTAATTCAATGGCAGTAGTAAACATATAAAAGTATAAATCAGAAAATAAGTGCATATGAATGAAGCAAGTATAAAAAATAAAGATCATAAAGTAGAACATACAAAACAACAAAATATACAGGGCGAATAGGCTGCGTATCTATCTTGATATTTAGTTTTCACATTCTCCCATCTAAAGTCATATCCCTATGAAAAGCAAGTCCCTCTGTATTTAGCCTCAAAATATCTTCCCGCTTCCTTTTAGGAGGTCATCTCCCACTCTTAGAATCAATTAGCATTGATTCTATTGTTATTACCCTCGCTAATGGTACTTTTTTAAGTTCTCCCTTGTATAATCAACTAAAAGCTTAGGCCCCGTTTGATAGTTTCTGAATGAGAAAGTGCTTACTGAGAAATGTCTGTCTGAGTAAGAAATTCTGAATGAGTAAGAAATCATGTTGTTTGATTGAAAATCTAACTGAATGTGCTGACTAGTGCAAAATGACCATTTTACCCCGACCCTCTACGCGTTTTTATGCAATATAATAATAATAATAATAATAATAATAATAATAATAATGTATACAAAAACTTCTATCATAATAGACATTGAATATAATATTTTAGAGATAAAACACAAAAAGTCATTTAGCTTGCTGGTAAATACCATTTTTTCTACAAAGGATACCAAAGTTCTATTCCTGTAATGCTAATTTTTATCAAAGTCAAGGGTACTATTGGAAAGTCTTGCTTTATCAAAGTCAAGGGTACTATTGGAAAGTCTTGCTTTCTTTTTGAATCAGCCATCTCCCAACTTCATTCTCGGTCAGCCCTTGCTTTTCGAGTCACACGTCAATATTTTGTCTATCAAACACCTTTCGTCTGACCGAGTCAGCCAAAAATGTCTGACCTGACTCGATCAGATGCATATCAAACAGGACCTTAGAAAATATGAAGAAATTGACCTATGCCCTAGATTAAACGGTTGGAAAAGCATGGGTTGCAAAATATGGTTTGAAAATGTCATAAAATCATATACAACACAAAAAGTACCACCTTAAGATTCAAATGTAAATTCGTACATTTCCAGAAAATCAACGTGCAACTTTTTTTCTTAGCATGCAATGTACAACTTTGAGAGTAAAATGTACATTTATATATTTCCAAGAAATCAACATCTTAGTCGGCATGAAATGTACGGCCTTGAGAATCATATGCATGGTCATACATTTGCTTCGGATTCTCTAAATTAGCTTCGGGTCATATCGTTTTCCATTGGCTTCCGCTCATATAAGCTCAGATGTGTTGTTATATGTTCCAAAGCATATATAAACATGTTAAGTACCCTTTACATTCCATTTGGTATGAAAATATAGCATTATTATACGAAAATTCCATTGGGGCGGCTCAACGGGCCCTTTGTACTTTACTATACTCAATGTTGTAACCTTCTTCCTTTATTCAGACTTGGAACCTTCTTCCTTTATTCAGACTTGGAACCGACAATAATAAACTAAAAAGTTTAAAAATTATAGAGTTAATTGTTTTATTATGTTTATGTTTTTTGTGAATATATTTAGGATTATGGATTAAAGGAAATACTTACTGCTACACAGTAAGTCCAATAGAAAAAATCAAAACTAAAAACTAAAATTTGTTCCACTACATGAAAAGCTTGTAAGTCGTTAAAATACTATTTATAGAGATTTAATACAATTACAAAGATCTACATTCATCATCTTTTTTTCTTTCTAAAATACTATTTGTATTTATATTCATATATGCATCCAGTAATAATATTACAGATTTAAGAGATCTTAATTTTAACCATTTCTACCACGAATCTACAATCACAATCCACGGAAGAGGAGATAAATAGATATGACAGAGTTCCTAACCGTGTATCACTCAAATCCCCATTATTTTTATTTAATTTCACTCTTACCGACATTTCCCAATTCTTCGGGGGGATATCGACTCATTATTATCCATTGGTTTTAGCACATACCAAAAAGCACATGCTTAATTTTAACAATCGTATATAAATGATGGATACAACAAAAGCTATCCAAAAGTAATCCTAGAGATCAAGATCGATAGTAAACAATAATCATTTTTGGCTATAGCAAAACAACTCAACGAAATTAAATCTTAAATTTCCAATTAGGTATTAATTGAATTCAAGCAAATGGCAATTGCTTAATATTTCACTTCCAAAAAGAAGTCAGACTCAATGTTTGGAAATTAAGTGATTAGATAATGGAAATTGGAAAACAAGAAAACTCAAATGGAGAATCACAACCATTTTTGCGTTTCAGTTCATCATCAGTTGAGGTATTATCCTCTTGAAAATCCTGAACAATGGTTAATGTAGAATCACAATCAATGAATTAGACTATCTGAGATTAGAAAACAAAAGGAAGAAAAAGAATAGAAGAGGTTGATGCCTTTGTGCGTTTCAGTTTTAGACTAGACTAAGATTGGTGGACAGGAGAAGAAGCCGAGAAAGAAAAATATCAGAAATTGAATGGTCGCTTCCCTCTGGTGTGCGAAAGAATATAATGATTGAGATTTTCTATACTAAAATTAAAGAATATAATGTAAAATTGAGGGACTAAGTCCTTGCTTATTTTGAACCGACAAATAGAATTTTTTATTAATAACCTTAACCTAACTAGCAAGAAACTAGTTAGGTGGTGTTGTATATTGTTTTAGTTACATAGAAGAGGTTTTGTAATCCATACCCTCCATTCAGTTTGAGTGGCGAATCTAGAACAAAAAACCACATGGTTCCTTATGTAAATAAAACTAAAAAAATATAAAAGTGTAAAAAATACTAGCGGTGACGGGTCGGGTTGTATGACTAAAATATTTAAACATCAGTTCAATAGTTATAATAAAGTTCTTACAATTGAACCCTACGAGGTCTTATATTTTGAAACATTGTCACAATTACATCGTTGCCAATACCTTTTAATACATTTTTTTTCAATATAAGACACTAAACTATCACTCAAAAATTGATCACTCATTTTGTTGCGTATATCAGTCTTTATTAACTTCATTGTTGAAAATGCGCGTTCTACACTTGCTGTTGCTACGGGTAAGATCAATGCAAGTTTCATAAGAAGGTAAATCTTAGGAAATATTATATGCTTCTTTTCTTCAACCATCTTTTTGGCAAGGTCTCCAATACTCTTCAAATCATTAAATTGTTCATCTTCTCGCATATCTTTAATGTAATTTCCAAGTTCCACTTCAAGAACTCGAAGATCATATTCTGTAGGAAACTTTTCCGGATAAAGTGAAGCCATTTTCATTATTTTTTCTAAATCAAAGGCTTTGAAAGATCCACTTGGGCACAAACAAGCAATACAAAGAAGTAAATTCGTGTTTGCTTCATTAAAGCGTTGGTTCAGCTCTTGAAGTTGCATATCAATCACTTTCTTGAATACATCAACTTGATAATGGTGCAAGTTGTTAACCTTGAAATATATATATATATATATATATATATATATATATATATATATATATATATATATATATATTAATAACTAACAATAAAACACAATAAATTTATAAATCAGTGTGGTAGTTGGTAATAAGAAACATTACTAACCTGTGAACCTCTGCGACGACTGTATCCATTAAAATATTCATCTTCCAAATCCACAACTTTAACTTCGTTTTTAGCACAAAACAATGTAACTTTCTCTAAAAGTGGTTCCCATCCTATATCCCTAATTTCTTGAATTGCTTTTTTTGAACTACTTACTTGATTCATGGCATTTATGATATCTTGGTCTTTTCTTTGTAGTATTGTATTCAAAT